TAAAGTTTATAGTTCACTGCGAAACATGAGACTAAATACATTAACGATACATACATATATATATATATACTTTCAGTCAATTGAGAAAAGAACAAAAGCTCATAAATCCACTTGTAGTGATTGTTTCGCAAGGTTTAACCTAATTCAAGTTTATCGTTCATAATTTGTCTTTCAGTGTCAAAATAGAAGATTCTTTTATTTTTAATTATTACATTCATATAAATTATCGTAATTTAGAATAAAAAATTATTAATTTCTTTAAATTTGACCTTAAATCTTATTTTCGTGTGAGGAGTATAATTTTATATATTACCACTTTGGATTATAATTTTTAATTTATTTTAGTGGCTATAATAATTTTCTTCTTTTATTTTTCATATTTGGTCGATACTTTGTTAATGAATTGTAATGTCAATTTTATGTTAAAATATATTTTAACATCCGTGACGGTTCGTCACATAGGGATCATTTTGGCCTTAGACACTGACCTGTGATAATGCTGTGCTTACAAAGAACCAAATCGGGGGAAAAAAGTGTATCGCGATTACTGGTCAGGTACATTGAACCTTGTGGACGATATCTTCATACCCCATTTCCCAACAGGCTTAAAAGCACTTAAAAAATTAATTTGAAAAAAATGGAAATGTTGCTGAATTAAAGAATTTTTATATTGCTTTCGTTTTATTAAAGAAAAGTTATCAGTTGTCTTTATGTCCTAATAGAAAATCAGCGTAATTGATGCGTATTGCTTTCGTCTTAGTAAAGAAGAGTTGTTAGTTTTTTTTTTTGCAAAGTTGTCAATTGTTATTATTTTTTAATAGAAAATTGCTGAATTTTTACTGCTTGAAAAAAATTTCAATAAAAAACTATTTTTTCCGTTGTAAATTTAATTATTAAGAAACTAGATAATAGGAAGACAAATGAAATTTTCCTTTCGAGTAGAGGAAAATTATACATGCTTATGTTCCATAAATGAGCGTCAATTTCATGGATGATTAGAGTTTAGAAATTCAGGACTATGTTGATTATGAACTATGCGTTATATATTTGTGATAATTGAGAAAGCGTGTATATATATATGTGGCAAACCACGCCTACAGTAATTATGTAATTGGTCTGAAAATTAACAGAAGTAATTACCAGATTCACACCTTTAGTGCTGTGGTTCATCCTTTAGAAAGCTTATATTTTCGAAAGGTAAATACAGATACTTCATTATGTTTGCAGTTTCCTTTTGTTTTCACTTCCGTTATATCTGTATATACATATACATATATCTATAGTTGTAGAGACTCGAGAAAAAAAAATCGATTCAAATGAAACAACCGCCTTGGGACACATAGCCGAGTACACACATTATTTAGATAGAGAAATGCAGGGATGTATCTTTTTAACCTTTTTTTTATATTTCTATTTTTTTTTTTTTTTTTAATTTTTTTATTTAGAAATTTTTTTTAGATTTACGTATCTTTTTACTGTGAGTGAGAAATTTAAGAATTCAAAAATATTTGTTTATTTTCGTGTCAAGCAATTTTTTGTAATTTTTTGCAATAAATATCAACAAAATTAAACCAAAAAATGGCATTATTTCAAAATGTATAGGAAAATTTTTTTTATTCAATTTTTTTTTAGGTACTGTGCCCTCTATTTTGAATACAGTGGCCGGTTAGAAATTTCAAAGATCAAATAATCGTTGAATATCGACAGAAAGACGAATTTTACGATGTCTGCGGCCTCACATTTAAAATAGATTGAATTCTCCGAATCGTTTCTAATTGATAACAATCGAATATATATATATATATAATGTATACTAAATTTACAAACGCAAAAGTTTCTCACATACCAAAAGATTTAAAATTTAATATTATATTTTATTAAAAAATATGAATTATAATTTAAATTATAATTACGACAAAAAAAACTATTAGAGTTAGAATTTCACAAAGAGATTAAACCTGAAATTAACGTAAATTTAATTTAATTTAAAAATAAAAAAACATTTTAGTTTTTTTTTACATTGAAATTAGGGTCAGTTGGGGTAAATGGGTACAAGAGGTTTTGGAGCTTAATTTACAGTTTTAAAATTAAGTTCAACGTCAATATTTTAACCTCAGATCACCTGCAAGAGGTTTTGAGTATTGCCAAGCTTTTATCTTGAGAATTGGCAGCAAGATAAAAAAAGTTATAGCTCAATGCATAAAAACTTGAAAATCAAAGTCAAACTGTTTTAGTATTTTGTCGAGCATTTCAAAGAAAACAGACTTAAAAATCATACCAAATTTTTTTCTTATTCCTTATGACCCCTATAACAGAAATTCACTTGAAGTTTTGATTTTTGTCGATTTGGTTAATAATGACAAGCTGTCCCCATTTACCCTTAGTTTTCAAATTTTTGGGGTAAATGGAGATAGCTTGTCATTATATTAACCAAATTAACAAAAATCAAAAATTCAAGTGAATTTCTATTATAGGAGTCATAAGGAATAAGAAAAAAATTTGGTATGATTTTTAAGTCTGTTTCATTTTCAAATGCGAGACAAAATATTGAAATGAAAAAAAAAATAAAAAAATTTCAATTGGTTTAACTATTATATATCTACTACAAATTTTTTTTCAAGTTTTTTCATTTCTTAATACAGTAATATACTTAAGGAAACTTTTTTTCTTAAAACTTTCTTAGAAACTATGCTGTCCCCATTTACCCCAAATTTTATGAAATTTTCTAAATTTTGGGGTAAATGAGGACAGTCAGTTTCATGCGTTTAAAGTTTATCTAAATTTTTTTCTGCTGCATAAAATTAATCCTGGGAATGTAAATAACAACTTAAAAAAAATAAACCCAAATATTACCTTTTAAAGAAAGAAACTTACGTAATTTATGAAAAATAGCGATTTTGTCCCCATTTATCCCAACTGACCCTATATATTTTAAGCTTTATTTTGAGGATGAAAAAAATGTTCTTTATTTTAAAAAAAGTCAAAAATATTTGTAATTTTCAAAAAAAGGGGTAAATTTTGAATTTTTAAAAAAAAATTTTTGCACCATTCGAAAGAGCAGAAAAAAACCTTTCGAAATCATATAGGTCAAAAAATTTTTTCATCCTTTTATTACAATAGTTATGATTTTACAAAAAAATGTAATGCAATTGGATCACTACAGGTATTTCGCCCCATATTTATATATATATATTTTTATTTATAGGAGAATAAATTTTTTAACGACATTATTGTTCCTCATGAGATGTCCAATTAAATTTAATTGAACTGACATATTAATCAATTAAAATGACATGGTACTATTTATGTAAATATTGACTAGGATTATATTTATGAATGGTTTATGGAGTGGACATTATTGACTTTGTAGAATGTGATGAGTAATTATCTGCAGTGTATAACACCTAAAACGACAATGGTTCAAAAGTTATATGAGCACGTTTTGCGCAAACATCAGATGCTGCATTTTGGAGTTGATTACAAATACATAGTATATTGTTTCTATTTAACATATATATGTGTGTGTGGGAGCAGTCTGAAATAATAATACCGTCAAAACGTTGATTTTGAAAATTAGCACATTAATCCATCTAAGTATTATACTGATTCCAAAGTAATACAATTTTTAAAAATTTTGTTAAAATTTCTTTTTTACTAATATAAGTAATTTTTTTAGTAAAACAGTAATTTTATATTATAACTATTTTTAAATTTTGCGCCACTTTCTATATAGTTTTGTATTACATGGTTGGCACTATCTGTACTTATGTCAATTCACAAGATTCCTAACCTAAAAATATTGCTATTTAATTTTCTGAATTGTCATAAATTAATATCGAGACATTATGTTTATATATATGTCGAAATAATCAATTATTCGGGTTTATTTTGTCAGTTTGAATAGATAAATGAATATGTTTTCCCCAACGTTGCAATCTTGAAAGAAATAAGTGGACGTCATTTCGACTTATTCGACCTACATGTTTATCGTATGCTGAATAAAAAGTATTCTATAGAAAAAGTAGGTTTGGGGTGTTTATATTTGAGGACAAACAGGAGGGGAAATATATATATATATATATATATATATATATATATATATATATATACATCACGCTCTGTACGCTCCAATAAATTAAATGAAATTTTGTCATTAGTAAAACGAAAAAAAAAAGTTTGTCTTTAAATTAGATGAAAATTATGCATTTGTTTATTGAATTTGTTTAAACAATGAAAATATTTTTCTTCTTTTTTTGTTTTGTTTTTTAACTTTTTTGATTAAAAAGTTCTTTGGTCACAAGAATCTTTCACTTTACTCATAGAAAAGCAAACTAAAATGCATTTTATTTTGAAAAAGAGAAAAAATTTTTTTAAATAAATTACTTAAACAAAAAGGATCATCATTTAAAAAATCTGACTTCAAATTTAAATTCAGCGATCCAGAAAACACCCATTTACCAAGTTTTAAGCAAAACTGATCAATTTTTAAAAATTTGTCCACCATATTGAATCCGACATTTTGAATTTTGAAATTCTGACTTCAAATTTGAGTTCAGCGACCCCAAAAAACCCCTGTATATTGAGTTTCAAACAAAAATGAGCAATTTTTAGGGTTTCATGGCCGAGGGGCCGAAAGTCTTATAGTTTCGCTTTGGCGTCCGTCCGTCGTAGACTCGAATTTTTAAATTTTCTGTCGCACTCACTCTCATGCGTTGCCATGGTAACCTGCAGCCAGCAAAAAAGGTGTGAGAGCGCCTTAATTTAGACCCCCCCCCTCTCTCACCCATGTCACACTTTTTACATACATTAGCGCCATTTTTTTCTGCTGATTGTCACAAATTGCTTGACCTCCCCCTTCCCTTTAAGATGTGACGTAATTCATGGACGATCTCAAATAAACAAAATATTCAAAATTTGTAAATACACTATTGAATAATAAAAATTATTTTATTTCTTATAACAAAAGTATTAATTATTGTTTTTTTTATTTTATTGTTCAGCTTTCGCCGGAACGCAAAGACAAAGACAAAGAGACTTTGCGTGATAGCAGTAAGGAGGGCGAGACCCTCGAAAACGTGCCTTTTCCCTCGCCTGGTGCGAGGGTCAGTATGGAGAGTGAGGTAGAGACAACATCGGGTTGGAGCTCGACAAGTAGTAGTGGTTCGTTGAAAAAGTCAGGAAACTCGGAAAACGAAATTCGCAAGAGGCCCGGAAACGTCAAGAATACAAGATCCGTTCTTGACAAAATTGCCCTCTTTCATCAGCATCATCATGCACGTGGTAGAGATGCAATCACGTGTTCCCTTCATCGTACATTAAGTATACATACAACTGCCCTGGAACAAAGTTACATGTCTGAGGAGTGTGATGAGAATGATTATCATCTTGACCTTGATTCATATAAGCCGGTTCAACCCCTTCATATTGACCATGGGGTCACACTATTTCCAGTAGCTGCAAAAAATGTTGGAACTGATCTTCATCTTTTACAGGTAATTTTAGTTATTATTTATTTTTAGATTTCTATATATATATATATATATATATATATATATATTTTTAGTGTAAACAAAATTCCCCTTCGCTTTAATTTGTTCTATATTTGGTTTTTTAGGTTAAGTCCACAATGGACAAATTTTTTTTTGTATTAGTATAAATATACAAAAAGAAGACGTAAACTATTTTTAGGTTAAGGGGTTGGACCACTGTGAAATTTTTAAAAAATCGAAAATTTTTTTTTGATAAAAAGGTGCTTTAGGGTGTTAGGAATGAGAAATAATAATAATCATTATAGAGGTAAAATATTTTTAAAAGCTTAAATTTTACTTTCGCGAGAGAAGTTCAACGCAACATTTGTATTTTTGAGGAACAGATATTGTACCTCAATCATGTGCCGACGCAGTACTAAAATCGAACAGCAGCAGCGCCAATTGAGTACTGATTCTGACCTAACTTGTGGGACAAACGGTTTAGTACAGTATCTGTCCACCAAAAAGCGCAGCTGCGGTACAATTTAGAACCGATGCGATGTTGCTCGAAAGGTTAGGTACAGTATCTGAACGTAGGGTTGTGAGTCATGAAACGTTTCATTGAAAGATTGAAACTTTCATTTGAATGTTTCAATCTTTCATGGACGTAAATTTCATTAGTTTCATGAAACATTGGATAACCAATAGTAAGCCTTCATGCGTACATGCGTAATACCGTAATAATTATTTTAGGTTAGGTCAAAAAATAAACTTGGAAAAAGTTAATTATTATAATAAAAAAATGTTTTACGACTGTTTTTGTTACTAAACTAAATTTTTTTTATTATTTAATTAATCATACTTAATTTATTATTATATCACAATTTTGCCTATGTTTGGAACTGAAACCAGTTCAACTTCAGGGCTGAAAATTTAAACAAAATAGCACATTAAATAATTTTTCAATCAAAAAAATTTAAATATAATAAATATATTTTTTAATTTTCGAGTAATCGTTGGTATGTTATTTTTATCCAGTATGATTATTGAGAGATATTTATTATATTTATTTAAACTATTTTGATTGAAAAATTATTTAATGTGGTATTTTGTATGAAATGTTTAGCCTTGAAGATCACTGAAAAAAATGTTCTGGTTAAAGTTACTAGATGCGTTTGGTTAAAAAATTTCTAGTTATTTTAACAAGAAAATATAGTTAAAAAGACTAAACAGTTCTAGTTAAATAAGTATGGTTAAATTATTCTGGTTAAAATAATTCTGGTTAAAAACGCGCGTTCGCGGACACTGCATAGTGTCTGTTGTTCTTTTTCGAATAGTTTATCGTGCGGATCGCAAGAATGGATGAAAAAGTTAACCAAGCTCTGGAAAATTGGGGTTTGGGAGAATTAAAAGATCTGTTTAAAGGTTGGTTAATATATTTTATAATATAAGTGAAAAAATTGTTGACGAACGGCAAACCCGTTCGTGTGGAAAATAGTTTGAAGGTTATGTTGAAAACGTGCTCGACACGTTTTATCAGAATTTTAGTTCTGAATAATCATATTTAAATAAACATTATTAAGAGAATTGCAGTGTAAAGGTGTTATTGTTTGATTGCATTTATATGTACATAATACAAATTTTTTTAATTCATATTTTATAATATTTTATAATATAATATAATAATAATAAATTTAATTAATTCTCTGATTAACTAGAATTTCTGGTAAGATCAACCAGAAATTTTTTTACCAAAAATTTTTAACTAGAAAAATTCTAATAAGATTAACTTGAAATTCTAGTAAGATTAACTTGAAATTCTGGTAAAATTAACCAGAATTTTTTAACCAAATTTTCTAGTACTTTTAACCAGAAAAAGTAGTAAGGGTATATATAACTTTTTATTCTGGTTAGATTAACCAGAATTCTGGTTATTTTAACCAGACTTTTTTTTCAGTGATGAACAGATTCCAGTTCGAAACGTAGGAAAAATTCTAATACAGTAATAAATCAAATATGACCAAAAAAACCGATTTAAAATATTATAATTTCCAGTCGTTAAATTAATTAATATTATTATTTCTCGTACAATTTTTGATCAAATTAGCTAAAAATTGGTTTACAGCTTCAAGATAACATTCTTTATGGAAGTACGTAGGGGGTTTTTTTTTTATCAAAAACTATTTTTTTTATTAACAATTTTGTACCGATTTTTTTTACCAAAAAACTCGAAATTTTAATCAACAACGTGCCATTTTCACAAAAATCGGTTTTTCAAAATTCCCTACGTACTTCTACAGATTTTAAGATATAAATTAAGAAAAAATTTGGTTTTTTGTTCTAATTTTAATAATTATTTAATAATTTTTTAATAGTTTAATATATAGGTATTTAACAATAATATAAAATTAATTTTTTAATTCATTTTATTCTGTTCTTGAAAAAAAAAATCTAAAAAATGGGTCTGATTTTCGGTCTTCACAGTAATCTAACCCCTTAGGGTCTTGACACAATAGATTTGCGAACATTTATTATATAGAAAAAGACATGAATATATCGCTGTCCTTTTCTGTCTCACGCAACACGTTCGCGAAGCAATTGTGCGTTGGCCTTTAAGAAACAGTTGTTTATTGTGGACTCAGCTTTATTAAAATATTTACTATATTAAAAACTTTAATGTGAATTGACCTTTATATTCTCATAGACGTATGAATAGAACTTTAAGCTGGCTAAAAATTCATATATGAAAGTTTGGTTTCTGGTTTCTAATACAGATTTTCTAATATTTTTTTTTATTTTTCTTGAATTTGATCAATTTTTAGAATAAGTCAAAATATTTTGCCTTCCAAGCGTATTTAATTATAAATCCAGATCTACTTTTCCAAAATTAATAATTTTTTTATTTTAACAGTGGAAATACGTACTTTGAAACCCCCTGCATTGAAATAGCATTTTAAAGTATTTTTTATGCGATATAACCTAAAAAGTCAGAAAAAACACGTTTTTAGATGTTTTTTTTTAATTTAACAAAAAATTAACAACAAAAAGTTTCTATATGAGACTTCAAAGAAAAGAACTTAAGGAGGAATGGTACACGTTAATATAACCTCAAAACTGAGAAATTTTTTTTTAACAATTTAATGCAAACAAAATTATAATTAAAATTAATTGCAACCAATTTTAGAAGATCTTGTTATGCATTTCGCAAAAAAACGATGTTGATTCAAAATCTTTTTTCAAATAATTATTTTTTTAACATTTTAATGTTTTTATTTCTATCAGCTCAGACAAAAAAAACACAATTTTTATCTAATTTTAATAAACAAAGGCTTATTTTATTCAGTGAAATCTACTCTACAATCGCTTATATTTTAATATTGTTAAAAGTAAGTTTTCAAAAAATTATTTACTAAATATAATTTCAATTGTTTATAATTTTTTAACAACTTACTTTCAACAATATAAAAATATAAGCGATTGAAGAGAATGTCTTACTGAATAAAATAAGCCCTTATTTATTACAATTAGATAAAAATTGTAATTTTTGTCTGAGCTAAAAGAAACAAGGAGGGGGTCCTTTATGTTTATTTCATAAACATTATGCTTCCTCATTGTATGAAGCAAAAAATTCGCTTCCTCGTGAAGGAAGCAATGAATTTGTCCAATTCAATTGATTGATTTAAAAAATTTCGAGTTAAAAATGTTTTAAATTAATTAAATTTTTTGAAAAATAAAGAAAATTTTAATTAATTTTGAGTGTAACATAAACTTTATATATACGAATCGATTCGTTTTAATGCAAGGAATACAATTATTTTATTCATCAACTTGAATTTTAAAAAAACACTAAATTTTTTAGCTAAAATATGAATTTTCGATTTTTCAATTTTTATTAATTCTCAAATTTTAAATCAAATCTATACTTTATATATACCAACCAATTCGTTTCAATGCAGGGAATAAAATTATTTCATATATAAACATGAATTTAAATAAACACATCATTTTTTAGCTAAAATGAGAATTTTTGATTTTTTAACTTTCATTAATTCTTTAAATTTCAATCAAATCTATACTTTATATATATCAATCGATTCATCTTGACATAAAGAAGACGATTATATTATATATTACCTTAAATTTTTCGATTTAAAAATTTTTTCAATTAAAAAAAAAATTTTGGAAAAAAGACGATAAAATTTTTTTTTTGGGGTATTTTGAAAAATCCTCTCGTCATTTTTGAGAGATTAATGTGTTAAATAAGCCTACCAAATTTTACCCAAATCCATTAAAACCTGTTAAAGATATCGTGTTTACAAAAACTATCCACACACACATACACACACACACACACACACACATACACACACACATACATACATCCGGACAATTGATCAGGATCTCATATAACATGTTTAAAATCTTTTAATTTTATCAGTGAACAAATTTCTGTAAAAAAATTTTTAGTGGGGAGACTTTTAAGTTAAAGTTAGTCGAGTCTCATCGTGATTCTACGAATACTGAACTATAGGTCCTTTGACGATACAAAAAAAACTGTCTTTTCGATGCAAATGAACAATGGTCTAACATTTTATCAACTGTAAAAAGTAGTCTAATTGTATTTTTTTAAACTAGCGTCTCCTTAAATAATAATAATTTAATTATTTTTGTTATTGTTAAAAATTTAGTTTTATTTATAATTATATGGATCAAAATTTCTGAAACCAATTACAATATTTTGATAGCAACAGTATAAGATTTTTCGATTTAAATTCGGAATTTCCTAACTTATAACTTATAATTTATTTTATTTATTTTGCTAATTTCCTTTGTTTTTAAATTTTTGTTTTTATTCTTGTTTTACTCTCTAAATCTAAATTAGTCACTTTTTTCTAATTCAACAGCACCGATTCGTTTATTAAATGAATTAGTAACAGTAATGATTATTTTTTTAGTCGAAAATGACTAATTCATTAGTTAATCTAATTTTAAATTTTTTTAATCTACATCACTAAAAAAAAGTAAATTTATGTCTACCAAAAATTTTAGTAATTTTTTTTCTTTACAAATAATTAGTTTTTGACTCTTAAATGAGTTGTTTTCTACTAATTCAGATTTAGAGAGTATTATATATTTTCATTCTTCATGATTTTCATTTTTGCAAAAATAAAGTAACACAAGTTAATACAATAAAATAAATTATTATTTTCATAGTAAACGGGACAAGCCCTTTTTTGTACAAATCGACTGGTAATAATATTTAAAATTTGCGTTATATTAGACACAGTAAAATAAATATATAAAAATGCTCTTTAGTGCAAGAGCAATTAGTTATTTAAGAAATTATAATGAGTATAATTACAAAATAACCAAATCATGTAGGTCTCTAAATATAAATACATAATACATGTAATAAATGCATGAATACAAAAGTAATTCTTAATAACAATTAGTATAAAACTAAAATTGTAAGGAAAAATTTGCTTCAATTATTACTAATATTAACATTATTAAAATTTACTTTTGATGGTGAGTATGCATAATCTGTTGCATAATAATATGCAGCAGGCGTAAAATAGCCACAATGTCTACAATATTGCATTCCTGTAAAGTCCTCGACATGAGAATCTTCAGTTGATTTAATTGGATTGCCAATAGCAATTGCCGAAAAGGCAAGAACGAAAATCTGTAGAAATACAATAAGCAAATTACTTTACATAATAATAATAACAACAATAATAATAAATAAAAGAGTTGCCACAAATAATTCCCACTTGGAAAGATTCCCCGGAAAGTGACCCCTGGAGGTTCTATCAGAATTCTGTCGGAATTCTAAAAAATTTCCGATGGGATTCCGACGGAATTCTGATAGAACCTCTAGGGGGCACTTTCCGGGGAATCTTTCCAAGTGGATTTTAAATAGAAAATTACAATTTTTAGACATACAATAATGCACAGAACATGAGCATATAAAAAATTTTCTATATTTTAATTTTATTTATAATTTTAAATATTAAAATACATATAAGTTAATTTTTATGTTCATAATCATCGAAAGACAGACTTTTATATGCTGCATTTATTTTGATAATGCGCTCTCCACTTCTTCAAATATTTAGTTTAACTTTTGAATTTCCCAATTAATAACAATGGAGAATTTATAATTCGGAATTCCACTATAAAAAGAAAAATACTGGTGAAATATCCGATTATGTGTTGGAAATTTTGATAATTTTTTTTTTTTTTTTTTTTTGCAAATAATGAAGATTAAATTTTTTTTTTTTTTAATTAATTTTTATAATTTTATTTTTTTATCAGACTCCTTAAAGATATGATCAGTGTAATTTTGAAACGTTAGAGGAAATTTTATAAAAATCCATTTGTCCGAATGTTATCGTTTTTGTTCTTTCACCTATTCTAATATATATTCTATTCGGGCTCTATTTTTTATCAGTAAAGCGTCACATATATGTAATTTGAAAAATTTCAACATTTTGAAATTAGATGTCCATCACTTGAGAAATACTCTCATCTTCATATTTGAAGGCTCTCAAATAGGTGAATTGTCAATTAATTTTAGTAATCACTTTTTTTTTGTCTAAATTTAAATTATCAGTCACCAGGAGTAAACTGAAAAAATTTGACAGCAGAATTACAGACAGAATGTTAGTGATTAATGCCTTTTAAACCTATTTCGAACCTGTCAATCAGCTGTGAGTCAAGCGAATACTTTGGAGTCGCTGCATTAAAAATTATTTGTTCATTATTTTAATAAATTACCCGAGGCGAAATTTGAATCCTCTTTAGCTTCCCTTAGAACCTAAATAGGCCCTCTTTACGATCTTGTAGACTCCCGTAGGCCCTCCTTTGAATCCAAACGTGGAAGAAAGGTAAATTTGCGACTGGTTGAGGAAGCTAAAGAGGGTCTAGTTCGATTAAAAAAGTACAAAAAAATGCAAAAAAAAAACTCTTTTAATTATTTTGATTAAAGCAAAATGAATTTTTTCTTCACACAATATTTCTTTAATTACCCTTTAAAAACTGGAATTAACATATTTTGAAGCGTTTTCAAAAAATTAATAGAATTAGAGCAATTTCAAAATTTTCAATATTTTAATCAATTTTTAGACCCTACTTTAAATCCAAACGTGGAAGAAAGGGAAATTTGCGACTAGTTGAGGAAGCTAAAGAGGGTCTGTTTAACTCTACTTTACTCCTTGTAAATTAGGGCTTAAATTTCGCCTCGGGTAGTCATAAATTAATAACCAATAAATATTTTAAAATGTTATTGGGCTTATTTTAAAGCTAAAAGTTCAAGCTTTTATTATTTAGTTTTCAATTTTTTTTTATTTACTTATATCTAAAAATTGCAGTCCATCAAAATTGGACAACGAAAATTAGCTATTAGCAAACATTCTACTGTTATTTTATCCAAAGTTATTGAATTTTTAAAAATTAGAGAAAAACGTTTTTTGCCTTTAACTTAAGAGCATTTGAACCTTCGTGACGTCACAAATCATGGCGCATGACACGCAAACTTCTCAGGTATGTGAAAAGCACAATTTTGAATATTTTTTAAAAAAACCTTTTGGAAAATGTTCAGAATAACATAGACTCTGTCTGTTATGTGCGAAAAATTCAAAATTTTGCGTTTAAACCGTTTTTTAAACAATGTTTAAGTTCCAAAAATGGCCTACATATAAGCAATTCGTGTATTTTTCCTTACTTGTGACAACCAACTTAAACATTGTTTAAAAAACGGTTTAAACGCAAAATTTTGAATTTTTCGCACATAACAGACAGAGTCTGTGTTATTCTGAATATTTTCCAAAAGGTTTTTTTAAAAAATATTCAAAATTGTGTTTTTCACATACCTGAGAAGTTTGCGTGTCATGCGCCATGATTTGTGACCTTAACATTGTTTAAAAAACGTTTTAAACGCAAAATTTTGAATTTTCCGCACATAACAGACAGAGTCTATGTTATTCTGAACATTTTCCAGAAGGTTTTTTTAAAAAATATTCAAAATTGTGCTTTTCACATACCTGAGAAGTTTGCGTGTCATGCGCCATGATTTGTGACCTTAACATTGTTTAAAAAACGTTTTAAACGCAAAATTTTGAATTTTCCGCACATAACAGACAGAGTCTATGTTATTCTGAACATTTTCCAGAAGGTTTTTTTAAAAAATATTCAAAATTGTGCTTTTCACATACCTGAGAAGTTTGCGTGTCATGCGCCATGATTTGTGACGTCACGAAGGTTCAAATGCTCTTAAAAAAAAATGTACTGACACCAATAGATATTTATCTCATAGTTTTGTAGAGTTTTTCAAGACACATCTTTTGACCTATTACCGAATAACCTACTGTTATTTTATCTAGAGTTATTAACATTCTGAAATTAAAAAATTTTGAAACACCTGCCGTTTTTGCATTATTTATTAAAAAATCTTTATGTAACTTTAAAATTACTAGGAACAACATGGAAAATATTTTAAAACGAATCAATTGACCTATTGCTGAACCTTTTATTATAAAATATTACGAAATTATTTATGTTATGTTATTGTTATGTTATTTATGTTATTTATGTTTATTTATTTATGTCTCAAAATTGAGAAATTGTTTTTCAACAATTAAATGCGAACAAAATTATAATTAAAATTAATAGCAACCAATTTAAGAAGATCTTGTTATGCATTTCGCAAAAAAAACGACGTTAATACGATAAGTTACATATAAAAATCATGATGAAATTTGGCGCAAATGTTATTATCATAGTAAAAACCATAAAAAAACACCATAAAATCATGGTTACTTTTCGAAAGTGTCAAATTTTATCACATGTCACAATAAGTAACAAGAAACTTTTATGAACAAAATATATATGTTTAATGCAAAATGGTGTAAATAAATTTAGAAAAATATAATTAACTTTAATATAAATATAGAATTTTTATTATTTAAATATAAAATATACTGTTGGTAGTTTTCAAAGAAATTTTTTATAAGCATACAGCTTCTGATTTTACATAATTGCTTTTATAACACTAAAATTGTAAGCAGAGATTTGCTTTAATTATTAGTTATTTCAACATTATTAACATTTAGCTTTGATGGTGAGAATGGGTAATTTTCTTCCTCGGATTCATAATCTGCTTCATGTGGAACAGGATCGTAATAGCGACAACGTCCACAATATCGCATTCCTGTAAAATCCTCGACATGAGAATCTTCGGTTGATTTAATTGGATTTCCAAAAGCAATTGCCAAAAAGGCAAGAACGAAAATCTGTAGAAAAACAATAAGCAAATTATTTTACATAATAATAATAATAAATAAAAGAGATGCCACAAATAACTTAGTCAAATGCAATGTATTAATCATTTGGTTCATTCAAATAAAAGTATTCAACTAAATAATTTAATTGAATCAACTAAACGTTTGTTTAACTGTATAACAATGCATTTATTTGATTGATTCATTCAAAAATAATCACAAAGCTCAAAATAGACTTTTTAATAAAAATAATAATTGTTAACTATTACTTACAAGTGTGATTTTCATTTTATTGGTTTTGTCGAATGTTTGACTATGTTCATAATCATCGAAAGACAGACTTTTATATGCTTCATTTGCTTAGATAATGCGCGCCCCACTTTTTCAAATATTAAATTTCCCAATTAAAGAATCACTTATTGTGTTACTTAACCGAAGGATAAGATTTCTTGTTTTAAAATTGGAATTTCCTCTTAACAACAATCTTGGGAATTTTTTTACTAAACTTTCAGATACGTATATTTATTTGGGGCGTATGAATTTCCCATAAAAATTATTGACTTAAAATTTTTATTTTTATGAATTTTATATCAGAAAAAACGTTGGATAAATTTTATTGTGGGTAATTTTAACCAATGCTAATTCACATAGACGGTGGCGCCCTCAACTAGAAAAAAATTTGTTGCAGGTAATTTTTATACCGATTTTGAGGTAAAAATTCTAATTTTTTTTTCGTGTGATATTAGATATAATTATTTTTTAGACGAATTTTTATTTTTTGAAATAGCATTTGACAAAATTACATTTTAAACGAATTTTTTACTAAACACCATTTTTAAGTGCCAAATTTTTGTTTAACAGAATTTCTCTTTACTTAAATTTTTATTTAAAAAAAAATCCAATTTAATTTTTAAAATGCCGAATTTTCATTAGTCCAAAATTGTAATTGGCCGAATTCCATCGATTATTTTCGGTTATTTTCAATTTCGGACAAATGGAAATTTGTCGTTTTAAGAATTCTATCAAATTACAATTTATTCAAAAATAAAGATTTGAACAAATAATGAAAATTTTGTAAAATAAAAATTCTGTCAAATAAAAATTATGTACCTAAAAATTTTATTAAGTAAAAATTTCTTTCAAAAAGAAATTCTGTCACATTTGAATTTGAAAAATAATAATTCGTTTAAAAAATAGGAGAACGTATCCATGAGTGGACCACCTTTTTATTTACTCGAATAATTTTGTTTAGACAAGTAAAATTTAAAAACTATAATACACCATTAGATAGGTATTGTCCTCAGCTATAAGTTATATATATTGAGATTTTTTTTCAGCTTCAAAGAAAAATTTTTAGATCGATTTTCTGAAGTGATATTTTTTTGACAAAAAAAAATTTGTATCCATGAGTGTACCACCTGCTGAAATCGCTTAAAAATGATTAAAAATCAAATAAACATTGAAGGATTTCAATGCTTATAGAATATTTATTTATTATAAACACTTGGAACATTCAAACAAACAAAAATATTAGTGCATTTCAATTAATTTCAGTTTTACAAATGTTGCAAATGAAATACCTTTTTTTTCTATTTAATTTACGGGGTATTGCAACCAACGAATTAAAATCAATTTCAATTGCCTTTTTTTCTTCGGCAGATTTCTTTTTTAATTATTTTATAATGACATTTTAAAAATTTGTAAACGCGAAATTTCAAATTTACCACAATGATGTGAATTTAGTATTATTTTTGGATATAAAACAATCGACAATTTATATACGGTCCATTCAGAGATAGAAAAGGTGGTCTACTCATGAAAATGTAAACTATTTTAAATATAATATTAAAATTTTTTCTAACATTTGAATAATTAAAAATTCTTCTTGTATGATAAAAATAAATATAAAAATAAAAAAAAATTAAAATGACTTTGAAAAAGTAAAAATAGATACATATCCCTAATTATATTTAACCTTTGTTTGGCACACTGGGTACAAAATACCCCACGCCTGTTCTATGTCAATTAAAATTTTAATTAAATTTAATTAATGATTTTTACGGTAAATTCATGAATTCCGTATATTTTTTTTTTATTATATTTATAAATGTAAAACATATTCTCCTCTTCTCTCGTGATAAAATACCCATTCATTTAAACAGAAATTGATTTCAAAATTCATATTTATACACGTGGAAAGATTCTCAGGAATTTCCGATTCGAAATTCCACTAAAAAAAAAAATGCAGGCGGGAAATCCGCTGGAATTATGCACGTGGAAATTTTGAATATTTAAAGTCAATAGTATCTCAAGTAGGTCAATTGATGTAATTTTAAATATTTTTTAAAAATGGTTATAATAGTTTAAAAGTTACATTAAAATTTTTAAATAAAATTTTTTTAAAAGTCATGTTTTTCCAAATTTTTTATTTTTAAAATTTTAATACCTATGGAAAAAATGACAATAGAACATTTGCCAATGGGTCAAAAGATTCGTATCAAAAGACTATAAATTTAAAGATAAATCTATGAATATATATTATATACTCCCTTTCAACAGGATTTGACCACCGTATACAGCAATCAAAGGCATTAAAAAAAGTTTTATATTTTCGATTGTAGTAAATATACAAAGGTTAAAAAATATTTATTTTAAAGCTTATACTTTAGCTAGAACACTACCCGTGTGGAAAACGCCCCGTTCGTCCCATGCATGATAGGGGCCCCCGGCAGGGTCCCAAGTGGAAAATCCATGAGGGCAAATCCATGCGGGCACCAGCAGGGCCCCCGCTATTTGCCCTCACGGTGCCCTGCTCAAAAATTTGTCTAAGTTAAAAAAAAAAATTTTTTTTGTATAATAAATGTTTACTTCAGAATGCATTAAATAACATTTTAAAGCACTTGAAATAAACATTGGGTGACATTTTTTAAAAATCTATGTACAAAGTTATGGAAATACACGAAGGCTCCAGCAGGGCCCTTGCTATTTGCCCTCACGGTGCCCTGCTCAAAAATTTTTCTAAGTTCAAAATTCAAATATTTTTTCATCAACACAAAATGAATGTTTCCAATGATTCAGAACAACGAAAAACGCGTTTTTAATAAAAATATATTTACACTTTTTTGAAAAAAACACTCACACTTATGGCAAAATAGATGAGGGCCATCGTAGGGGCCCGCATGGATCGCCCTCATGATCGATTAGCAAAATTTTCTAAGTCCAAAATTCAAATATTTTTTTGTCAACACAAAATGAATGTTTCCAATGATTCAAAACAACGAAAAACGCGTTTTTAATAAAAATATATTTACACTTTTTTAAAAATTCACCTGAGATGATTCATGATAATAATCATAAAGCATATAATTAATTATATTTTATAAATTGCATTTGATTGGAAAATATAATTTAATATCTTAACTTTAACTAAATGATGTTAAGCACTTTTCTTTGTTAGGTAGTTTTGAAGTTTAAATAGCATCAAGAAGTTAGCATTCGTTTTGAACTAGCGTGCGTAGCCTAGTTGGTAAAGCGTTAGACTCATAGTCCGTAGGTCGTAGGTTCGATTCCCCCCATGCGTTAGATTTATTTATTTCTCAGGTTTGCGTTTAATCATTAATTCTATGTATGAATTAATTGAAAAATGAAAATATCCGTTAATAGTATGCATAAATTACATATTTTTTAATTAATTAATTTATTATTACTTTTAATTATATCCGACAGTTAATTAATTAGAACGTTAATTAATAAATTCAATTTGAGTAAGAATTTAATTTAAAATTGAATAATTATTAAATAAATATGTTATTTATTCATAACTTAAGCTTATTTATTATTAATTAACTTTTATAATATAAATTTATAAAATTTACTAGGGGGCTATGCCCCCTGCGCGCTTCGCGCGCCAACCCCCATCCCCCCTCCTCTCTTCCCCTCCCCCACCCTAAATTTAAAGGTTAAGATCGTTTCAAGACTCTGAATATAGCCGTAAGTCCCCCTCCCTTTTCTTCTACCCCCCTTCTCTTGACTTGCGGCTATATTCAGAGTCTTGGAACAGCGGCTTCGCGCTCCAACCCCCATCCCCCCTCCTCTCTTCCCCTCCTTTTCCCCTCCCCCACCCTAAATTTAAAGGTTAAGATCGTTTCAAGACTCTGAATATAGCCGCAAGTCCCCCCCTCCCTTCTCTCCTATCCCCCTTCTCTTGACTTGCGGCTATATTCAGAGTCTTGGAACAGCGGCGGCGGCGGCGTCGGCGGCGATATCTTTTTGTAATATAGGTAGATAAATAAAATATAATAAATTTTTCATGAGGGTACCCATTAGGGAAAACATGTCACGCCTTTGAGGGCTCCACGTGGATTGCCCCTATGGTTTCCATGCGGCACGAGGGCAATCCACGAGTGCCCCTCACGGGGCCATTGCCAATTTTCCACACGGGTATCTACAAAAGAAATTAAAAAAAAAAAATTTTTTTTTGTTTGTTAAAAACAGAAGCAAAATTTTGTTATTTTTTTTGTATATTTCAAACTGATTTTTCGACATATTTTTCAAATCTAAAACTATATTATATGATCAAAAATTTTAAAAAACTGAAATACGAAAATCTATACTATTAATTGTTTAGAATCATGGAAAAAGTATTTAAAAAATTGTCAGTGAAAAATAATTAAAAAAGAGAAGTTTAAATTAAAATTTTTTTAAAAATTTCGACTTCTATTTAAAAAAAAATTACTGAGTTATAGTTTTTTTTTAATTTTCCATAACATTTTTTATTTTTAAATACTCAATATTATCGGAAAATAAATTGACACCCTTAAACAGCATAAATTTCTATAGGTTGAAATTTCACTAGTCTCTCCCCTTAATAATAATAATAATAATAATAATAATGAACCTGTAGTCATTTTATCTCCGTTTCAAATATAGATGTGGATGCAAATTCCTGAAATGTCCGAGTCAAAAATTTAAAGTTATGGAATTTAGTCCAAACTTCGACAAATTATTGTCAT